GCATGCCAGGCGAGCGCATTACCGCTTGAGCCACATCCCCAGCCCTAGAGTTCAATTTTTTATATCTGGTTGTACGTAAAGTATATTCACACCAATTCGTGTCTTTATACATGTACTTTGGATAATAACGTCCATCACATTTCACCCTCATTAATGACCCCATGCCCCCTTCTTTCCCCTCCTACCCCTTTCTCATGATTGCTCCCATGCTCCCTCTCCCTATCCCACTATGAGTCAGCCTCCTTATATCAGAGAAAATATTTGGCATTTGGTTATTTGGGATTGGCTAACTTCACTTAGCATTATCTTCTCTAACTCCATCCATTTACCTGCAAATGCCATGATTTTATTCTCTTTTACTGCTGAGTAATATTCCATTGTGTATAAATGCCACATTTTTGAAAAATCCATTCATCTATTGAAGGGCATCTAGGTTGGTTCTACAATTTAGCTATTGTGAATTGTGCTGTTATAAATATTGATGTGGCTGTGTCCCTGTAGTATGCTGTTTTTAAGTCCTTTGGGTATAGATTGAGGAGAGGGATAGCTGGGTCACTTCTTTTGACAACCCTCACTTCCACTTGTACACTGATAATTGTCCCTATTTTACGTCTCCTTAGCATGGCTCACAGTGGGGATCTCCTCAGCGTCACAATGGACTCCGAATGCCCTCTTGTACACATTGGTCTCCCTGTACCAAGCCTCCTCTCCGGAGGAGGAGAAACACCTCACTGTACTGGTCCACCTGGCGGATTCTGACCTCTTCTGGCTCAAAGAAACCATTGCCCAAATTTCAAGACTCTTCAGTCCACAGATCTTGGCCGGGCAGTTGCTACTGATCCACGCTCCATCTGATGTCTATCCCTCTGTGAATGGCACCCAGAATGAGGCCAGTCGAGAGGAATTGTACTCCAAGCAGAACGTGGATCATGCCTTCCTCATGAGCTTTGCCACAAATCTCTCTACTTACTTCCTGTTAATCGAGGACAATGTCTTTTGTTCCCCCAACTTTGTCACCCAAATCCATTCACAGGTGGCCACCATGAAGTCCAGTCCGTGGGTGATACTGGAGTTCTCGGACATAGGCTTCCTTGGCAAACTCTTCCACAGCACGGACCTCCCACTGCTGGCCCATTTCCTGCTCCTCTTCCACCAGGAGAAACCCCTTGACAAACTGCTCCTTCATTTCCGCACCCTTATGGTCCAGGAGAAATCAATCATCTGCAGACCATTTCTTTTCTATTACAGGATGTCCCACCCCACCTTTGATGACAACCAAAAGGCCACACTGGATCGGGAAACCGACCCTTTTGGTCCCGACAACCCCCCTGCTGCCGTTTTCACAGATATGACAGTTTCTAATGTCCACTTCCCCTGGGAGGCCTACACTCTGGATGAGTCCTACTTCTGGACGCACGATGTTAATGTAGGGGACCACTTGACCGTGATCTTGAACCATCCATCGAACTTGACAAAAGTGCAGGTGATGACAGGCTCCATCATGGAGGGAAAGTACGCCCTGAAGAAGGGGCAGGTGGAGCTGGGCTACGACCCCGAGGGGATGCCTCAGTACTGTGCCTCGTTTTTCGTGCTGGGCCATCTGGTGGAGGGGCAGCTGTCTCAGGAGATAGTTCCAAAAAGCATGGGACACCAAGTGAACTGTGTGAGGCTGGTGGCCAAAGCCAAACAGGATGGGGGCCTCATGATCAGGCACATCTACCTCTGGGAAGAAAAGGCCAAGAAGGAAAAGCTCATCAGAGACGGCGGTACATCATTAAAAGTATGAAAAAATTAAAGTCATGAAGCCATTCCCTTCTAGCCTGTGTGAGTGACATAGGAAAGGTACAAGGGAATGATGAGGAAAGGGGGTCACAAGTTCCAGACAAGCCTCAGCAACTTAGTGAGACCCTGCCTCCAAATAAAATGTGGGGTCTGGGGGAGTAGCTCAAGGGTAGAGTGCCCCTAGGTTCATCCCCAGTGCTCCGTCTTTACCCTGAAAAAATAGGCAAAGGATTTGGATAGACAGTTCTCCAAAGAAGATAGCAAATAAGAACATGAAAAAAATGTGTTTCTCGATCATTCGTCACTGGGAAGCTGGCGCAATGGCGCTTACCTGTAATTCCAGCTAGTCAGGAGGCTGAGGCAGAAGGATCACAAGCTGAGGCCAGTCTCAGCAATTTAGGGAGACCCTGTCTCAAAACTGGGATTAAAAAGAAATGGGGATCTGGTGCTAAGGTTGTGGCTCAGTGGTAGAGCACTCACCTCTCATGTGTGAGGCACTGGGTTCAATCCTCAGCACCACATAAAAATAAAGGTATGGTGATCACTTACAACCAAAAAATATTAAAGGGGGGCTGGGGAGATCTAATTCAGAGGTAGAGTGTCCCTAGGTTCATTGTCCAGTACCAAAACTCCCTCCAACCTGCCCCCCAAAAAACAACAAAAATGAAATTCTATTGATACTCATCATGATGGCTATAATTGAAAAACAAGGTAAATTAAAACTACTCTAAGATACCATCTCACTCCAGTAAGAGTGGCAGCCATTAAGAAGACAACAATAAGTGTTGGCGAGGATGCAGGAAAAAGGCGCACTCATACACTGCTGGTGGGTCTTCAAATTGGTGCAGCCAATTTGGAAAGCAGTATGGAGATTCCTTGGAAAAATGGGAATGGAACCACCATTTGACCCAGCTGTTCCTCTTCTCAGACTATACCCAAAGGACCTAAAAACAGCATATTACAGGGACATAGCCACATCAATGTTTATAGCAGCACAATTCACAATAGCTAAACTGTGGAGCCAACCTAGATGTCCTTCAGTGGATGAAT